TTATTTCAGCAGGCAGGACTGGCCTAGGGGTATTTTAAAGGGGTTTTAAATTAAATTTTTAGTAGAAGCGGCCAAATTTAAATAGTTATTTTTAATCTTTTTAAATTTTGTATTGTATCACTGTTTTAAACTGGCTGTAAGCCGCCCTGAGTCCTCCGGGAGAAGGGCGGGGTATAAATTTAATAAAATCTCAAAAAAATCTCAAAAATCTTCTCCTCGTCCTTCCCCTCCTCCTCCTCTTTCTCCTCTCGTCCTCCTCCTTGTCCTTCCCCTTCTCCTCTTCTCCTCCTCCTCCTCCTCTTCTCCATGTCTTTCTCCTCCTCCTTCTCCTTCTCTTGTCTTTTCCCTCCTCCTCTTTCTCCTTCTCTTCTCCTCCTCCTTGCCCTTCCCCTCCTCCTCCTTCTCTTCTCCTCGTCCTTCCCCTCCTCCTCCTCTTTCTCCTCTCCTCCTCCTCCTTGTCCTTCCCCTTCTCCTCCTCCTCCTCTTCTCCTTGTCTTTCTCCTCCTCCTCCTCTCCTCCTTCTCTCCTCCTCCTTGCCCTTCCCCTCCTCTTTCTCCTTCTCTTCTTCTCCTTCTCCTCCTTGCCCTTCCCCTTCTCCTTCTCTTCTCCTCCTTGCCCTTCCCCTCCTCCTCCTCTTTCTCTTTCTCTTCTCCTCCTTGCCCTCCTCTTTCTCCTCTTTCTCCTTCTCTTCTCCTTCCTCTCCTCCTTCTCCTTCTCTCCTCCTCTTTGCCCTTCCCCTCCTCCTCCTCCTCTTTCTCCTTCTCTTCTTCTCCTTCTCCTCCTTGCCCTTCCCCTTCTCCTTCTCTTCTCCTTCCCCTCCTCCTCCTCCTTCTCTTCTCCTCCTCGTCTCGTCCTTCTCATTCTTCCCCTCCTTCTCCTTTCTCCTGCTCTCTTCTTTCTCCTTCTCCTCCTCCTCCTCTTCCACCTCCTTCTTTTCTTTTTTCCCCCCCCTCCTCCTCCTCCTCCTATTTGGGGGGGACTGAATGGAGTGCGACATGTCAAGGTAGCAATATAAGCGGCCCCCTCCTGGAGGGGGCTCCCAGCCTACCGGGTCCAGCAACCCGCCCTCACAGTAGCAGGGCCAAGTATCCGGGAAGCCCACCAATCTGGCAGAGGCATTGCAACTGCCTTCCAGGCTAATAGCCATGATCCAACTGCCACGAATTGATCCAGCCCTTTTCTTAAAGCCAGCCCCGCTGACAGCCCGGACCATATCTCACGGCGAAGAGAGGAAGCGATCAGGGACTTGAAACTCTGCAAACCTCCGACAATCCAGTTCCGCCGTTCCACACACACACACACCTAGCACGCAATATCATCCGGGATTGTGGAACGGGTAGCCATGGCTAAGCGAGACAGTCCGTTAAAGTGAGTTGCAAAGCGAATTGCTGCAACTGCTAAATTAGTAATGTGGATGTTAAGCGAATCCGGCTTCCCCGTTGACTTTGCTTGTCATAAATACGAGCCAGTGGCCAAGGGTCTGAATTTTGATCCCGTGACCACGGGAATGCCATGTCAGAGCATGCACAGTCGTATTGCACTGAGATAACCCAGGAGTAAACACAGTAAACAGTGGTCTGTATTAAATGGTGGTTTATATTACACTGTCTACAATATCATACACCAGGAACAATGTATATACACATGCTAATACAACAGGATCCAGCACACCACAGTTATAGCAGAAGAGAAAGAGAGAGCACAGCAGCAGAGCCTTCCTTTTATACCAAGGCTCTTAAAGAGACACAGACCTTGCTGACTCTTAAAGGGATATAGACCCTGCTGAGTCATTCCCATCATTAAAGCATATAAGGAAAGGCTACTGGAATTGGGTATTAGTTTAATGAAGAGAAGGACGAGGGGGGACATGATAGCAGTGTTCCAGTTTCTCAGGGGCTGCCACAAAGAAGAGGGAGTCAAGCTATTTTCCAAGGCGCCTGAAGGCAGGACAAGAAGCACCGGGTGGAAACTAATCAAGGAGAGAAGCAACCTAGAACTAAGGAGAAACTTCCTGACAGAACAATTAGCCAGTGGAACCACCTGCCTCCAGAAGTGGTGAATGCTCCAACACTGGAAGTTTTTAAGAAGAGACTGGACAGCCATTTGTCTGAAATGGTATAGGGTTTCCTGCCTGAGTAGAGGGTTGGACTAGATGACCTCCAAGATCCCTTCCAACGTTGTTGTTATTATTATTATTATCATCATCATCATCATCATCATCATACATCTTACCTTACATAAGCTGGTTAGCTGTTAAATCATGACCTTAACATGCTGCAACAGTCGTAAGTGTGAAAAAACCGTCGTAAGTGTGAAAAAAGTTGTGAAAAATGCCAGAACAGTCATCACTCTTTTCAGTGCTGTTCTAACTTCGCTAAAATCTTACCTTACATAAGCTGGTTAGCTGTTAAATCATGACCGTAACGTGCTGCAACAGTCGTAAGTGTGAAAAAACCGTCGTAAGTGTGAAAAAAGTTGTGAAAAATGCCACAACGCTCGTCACTTTTTTCAGTACTATTCTAACTTCGATAAAAAGGAACGGTGGTTAAGTGAAAGGCTGTCTGAATTAGGATGGTAAAATGTGGAGAAAGTCTGCAGGTTTCGAACGCGCTCCCCAGAAAGCGTGTTCAGCCCAATTAGAACCAAGCTTGCTGTTTTTATTTATTTTTTTAGACGCTCAACTGTGGTTTAAGGTCACTGTCGAAAAATTTACGGGCGACTCCGTTAACCCTGGTTTCTTTGCCCTGCCTTTCAGGTCTCTATTACGTGGATAGCGAAGGGAACCGCATCTCAGGAACCGTCTTCTCGGTGGGCTCCGGTTCCGTCTACGCCTACGGGGTGATGGATCGCGGCTACTCTCACGAGCTCTCGGTGGAAGACGCCTACGACCTGGCCCGCCGGGCCATCTATCAAGCCACGTACCGCGACGCTTACTCGGGGGGCTCAGTGAACCTCTACCACGTCCGCTCGGATGGCTGGATCCACGTCTCCAGCGACGACGTCGCCGGTCTGCGGGAACTGTTCTGCGACACGTCCGCCGAAGCCGTGGCCTGAAAGCGTGGACTAAAATGAGGGTGGGTGGAGGGCAGCAGCCTGGGGTCTCTGTAAAGGCTGTAGAGTATTTTCAGAACCCGTAAAGAAATTGTAACTTTGACTGTTAACGGAAAGGGCGAGGCCGCAGATATTGTTGGAGGAACGTTGAACCGGTGTTTTATGTAATAAAAATGTCCAGCTTCTTTGGAATCAAATTTTGCTTGTTCGAGCTCTTTGTGTTCTTCATTGGAAGAACAGGAGATCAGTCTTGTCTGCTGCCGGTCCCAGGGAATGCGTGTGCATCTCCACAGGTGTGTTATACAGGGAGTCCTCGGCCTACGGCTACAACTGAGCCTAAAATATTTGTGGCTAAGCGAAACGTTTGTCAAGTGAGTGTTGCCCCGTTTTACGACTTTCCTTGCCACAGTTGTTAAGTGAATCACTGCAGTTGTTAAGTGAGTAATACGGTTGTTAAGTGAATCCGGCTTCCCCCATTGACATTGCTTGTCAGAAAGTCGCAAAAAGGGGAGAATAGAATAGAATAGAATAGAATAATGATAAGAATAGAATAGAATAATTAGAATGGAATGAAATAGATTAGACTAGAATAGAGCAGGAATGGAATAGAATACAGCAGGAATAGAATGGAATGGAATAGAATATACAATATAATAGAATAGAAATAGAATAATGATAAGAATAGAATGGAATAGAATAGAAATAGAATAATGATAAGAATAGAATAGAATAGAATAATGATAATAGAATAGAATAATTAGAATGGAATAGAATAGAGCAGGAATGGAATGGAATGGAACACAGCAGGAAAAGAATGGAATGGAATAGAACATAGAATAGAATAGAATAGAAATAGAGTAATGATAAGAATAGAATAGAATAATTAGAATAGAATGGAATAGAATAGAATAGAGCAGGAATAGAATGGAATCACAATAGAATAGAATAGAAATAGAATAATGATAAGAATAGAATAACAAAATAATTACAATAGAATAGAAAATAAAATAGAATAATTAGAATAGAATAGAATTTAGAATAGAAATAGAATAATGATAAGAATAGAATAATTAGAATAGAATAGAAAATAGAATAGAATAATTAGAATAGAATAGAATTCAGAATTAGAATAGAATAGAATTCAGAATTAGAATAGAATAGAAAAGAAAATATGGAATAGAATAGAATAGAGTAGAATAGAATATCTTTATTGTCACTGTGTATCTCACAACGAAATTAAGTGCTGTCCACAATGCACACTACACACAAGTAACATCACCCCGGGATGCTGCAACCACCATAAATATGAGCCAGTTGCCAAGCATCCAAACTTTGATCACATGACCAAGGGGGATGCTGCAACGGCCGTGTGAAAAACGGTCATAAGTCACTTTTCCCAGTGCCGTTGTAACTTCGAATGGTCGCTAAAGGAACTCTTGTAAGTCGAGGACTATTTGCGGTTCAATTCTCGCCCTCGCAGAGTGCAAACGGCTGTGGGGATGTGGCCGATTGGCTGTGGGAGCTGGGAATGTCATTTGAAGGTTTTATTTCTAGGCCAAACAGACCCCGAGGGTCATTGTGCGCGGATGCGTTTTCCCAAATGAAGGAACCCCAGCGCATTTTTCCTTAACTCCTGTGACAATTTGCCCCTACTTTTTGAGGACCGATTCCATACAGTCTCAAGCTATTTTCCAAGGCGCCTGAAGGTAGGACAAGAAGCAATGGGTGGAAACTAATCAAGGAGAGAAGCAACCTAGAACTAAGGAGAAACTTCCGACAGGTAGAACAATTAACCAGTGGAACAACCTGCCTCCAGAAGCGATGAATGCTCCAACACAGGAAGTTTTTAAGAAGAGACTGGACGGCCATTTGTCCGAAATGGTATAGGGTTTCCTGCCTGAGCAGGGGGTTGGACTAGATGACCTCCAAGGTCCCTTCCAACTTTATTATTATTATTATTATTATTATTATTATTATTATTATTATTATTATTATTATTATTATTATTATTATTATATCATCCTTCGCCTTCCTCTCGTCCTGCTTGTTTCTTAACTTGGCACAACCGACTGCGTGTTCATCGCCCCGGACCCTAATACGAAGGGAAAAGGTCATTTGCAAGCTTCGGGGATGAAAAGGACGAGGCATGCCAAACGTATTAAAAAAAAAGGTGTTTTGTTTCTTCTTAAAACAAAGGTGGCTTTTGAAGTATCTCCTTCCTTCGGCGCGGCGTCCCTGCTTGCGAAGGGGAAGGAATGAAAGGGTTTGCAAAAAAAGAAAAAAGGGAAGCCGATAGTGAAAGGTTTTTGCACCGTTACAAAGAGACGGACGGGAAAAAGGCTGGCTTGGTCGCTCAACAGCGAGACACTGGTGAAGCGGGCACAGCAGCGCCTGCATTTTCTGCGTCGCATGAGAAAAGCACATCGTCCTTCCCCTGTCCTGACCACTTTCTGCAGAGGGACGATCGAGAGAATCCTGTCATACGGCATCACAGTCTGGTTTAGAAGCATCACTGCTTCAGACAGGAAGACGGGGCAGAGAGTGGTGAGGACAGCAGAAAAGATCATTGGCAGTTCCCTCCCTTCCATTCAGGATGTGGCACAGAAGCGTTGCATGAGCAGGGTCCGCAAGATTGTCTGGGACGCTACACGTCCTCTCCACGACCTGTTTTCCTTGTTACTTTGGGGAGGGGGCTCCGCGGTATCCAAAGCAGAACATCCAGATTCAGTCACAGTTTTCGTTCCATACAGTATCAACCTTGTGAACTCTCAAGCTTCCTCCTTCCGTTATATATTCAAGATGGACAGGGATTAATATGTATATGTTATATAGGTGTAGGTCTATACATATGTTGTATATAGGTTTATAATGTGTGTTACGTATGTGTACACTTTTGAGAGCAACTAAATTTCATTTTTGATGTGTGCCGTTGTGCCCACAGTAAAAAATGACAATAAAGATAATAATAATAATAATAATAATAATAATAATAATAATAATAATAATAATAATAATAATAATAATAATAATAATAGTAGTAATAATAAAGTTGGAAGGGACCTTGGAGGTCATCTAGTCCAACCCCCTGCTCAGGCAGGAAACCCTATACCATTTCAGACAAATGGCTGTCCAGTCTCTTCTTAAAAACTTCCAGTGTTATTAGATAATTAGATAATTAGTTATCTAATCTAATCTAAAATCTAATTGCTAGACAGAGCTGGGGTGTCTGTCCTGGGTTCAAAGCCCCCCCCCTTGCAAATAACAGGTAGTCCTCAACGTACGACCACAATTGAGCCCCAAATTTCTGGGTTGTGAACTGAGACATGGGTTAGGGGAGCTTTGCCCCATTTTTACCATCTCTCTTGCCACTGTTGTTAAGTGAATCACTGCAGTTGTTAAGTTAGTAACCCGGTCGTTAAGTGAACCTGGCTTCCCCATGGACTTTGCTTGTCAGAAGGTGGCAAAAAGGGATCTCATGGCCCCGGGACGCAGCAACTGTCATAAATGTGAGGTAAATTTTGATCACGTGACCATGGGGATGCTGGAAAGGCGGCGTGAAAAACAGTCGTAAGTCACTTTTTTCAGTGCCACTGCAAGTTTCAGCGGTCATTAAGCGAACTGTTGTAAGTCGAGGACTATCTGTACAGAGTCCTCAACTTACAGTTCATTCAAAGTTACAACGGCATGGAAAAAGTGACTAATGCCTGTTTTCCTCACGGCTATTGCGGCGTCTCCGGTGGTCACGGGATCCAAATTCAGACGCTGGGCAACTGACTCGTATTTATGACGGTCGCAGCGTCCCCCGGGGGTGTCACGCGATCTCCTTTTGCGACTTTCTGTTTGAGCAGAGTCCACGGGGGAAGCCGGAGTCACTTCGCAACCGTGTTCCTAACTTAACAGTGGCGAGACAAACCCTAAAATGGGGGAAAGCTCGCTGAACAAGTGTCTCACTCAGCAAACGTAAATTTGGGCTCGGTGGTCGTACGCCGAGGACTTCCGGTCGTACCCCGGGTTGGAGCAAGCAGGGGAAGCGATCGAGGAAGTACCTAGAATTAGAGGCTGAATGTTTGCGTGTCGAGGAGAAGAGGAAATAAAAAATGGCAGTGCCCGTTTCTGCTAGATTTTCCCTGCTGGGGCCCTGTTCAAGAATGCGTGTGCAGCCATGGTGTGCGATTGTGTGTGCGTGCAGGAGACTGGCCAATCAGGGCAGGAGGGGGGGGAGAGCACGGGGGTGTGGCAGCTGGCAGCAGGGTGCACCTCTCCCCCTTCCCCCACTTTTTTTTGCACACACACACATGGACACGCAGGCGAATACAAAGAGCTGTAGGACTTTCCTGTATCCTTTGCCCGTGTGCATGCATGCATGTGAGGAGACAGGATCAAGGGGAAACGGGGGCGGGGGCGGGGGGGAAGGGAAGATGGCAAGGGGGGGCAGAGAATCCCCCCAGTCTGCCCTTCCTTTTTTGGCCTTGCCAAGGAGAAACAACCAGGAAGCTAAAGAGCAGAATGAGTGCAGGAATAGAGTGTGCTAGAGTGTGTACATGGTTTTTTTTTTAATTTTTTTTGCAAAATGGCTAGACAGGTGGACGTGTACCGAGAAAGATAACAAAAAAAAGGGGGGGGGGAGAACTTGGAAGCGATAAACTGGCGGCCTCATAGAAACTCGGGATAATAAGATATCCGATGGGATAGATAAGCGCTTTAATTGCACACCCACAAGTCTTTGCACACTGGGGGGGGAAGGTTCGATAGATCCTCGTCTTTTTTTAAAAAAAGACGATCTATCGCACCTTCCCCCCCCCACACACCGAGTGTGCAAAGACTTGTGGGTGTGCAAGGATCCTTTTGAATGGAAGACCCAGCAATTTATCTCCTAAGGATAGGACCGTCAGGGTGCCAGGCCTTGGGACGGAGGCACCGTTCCCCGAAAAGCTAGAAAAATTAAAAAGCGATTATACCGGTAACAATAAAGCCCAGAGCGTGAGATTTCTACGAAAAAGCCTTGCAGGAAAAACAATAAGGAATTTCGGGGCGATGATTCCATGAAATCTACCTTTGGGGTTTTCATTTCAGCTTGCTTGGTTTGGCAGGAAGGGATGGCGGGAATGAGTGGGGCTTCTTCAGCGTTATAATTGTAATTTTCCTCCCCAAATCATCAGCCCCCAAAGCTACCAAGTTTTAAACCAGGGTTTCCTTT